GCCTGCGCGCGGCGCGCGTGGGCGGCGTGTCGCCTTACCGCTTGCCGCATGCCCTTCCCGGGGACTGCTCCTTGGTGGTCGGCGTGCGCCCCGCGCTGAGCAGCAGTCGGGGACTGCAAATCCAGAGCTGTAACCTGATAAAGCTCAGTTTCTCAGCTAAGCCACCCCTGTTAGCCATCAGCGTCAGATGGGCTACCTCTCCTCCGTCCGTGGTGGTGTCGCATCAGTTCAGAAGTAAGCCCCAGTCATGACTTTGAACGCTCGTTTTTATATGCAGTATTTTCCACAGCCATGCAGGAAGGAATGCAAGACACAGCCTTGAGAGCACATACCCATCGCTTAGTGGTTAGGGCACTCAGCTGGCAAGGGGAGATCCTGTATTCTAGAGTCACATACAGAGTTCATATAGAGTCACATAGAGTTCACATATCTTTATTTTTCATCAGTATCATGAGAGAAACTACAGAGCAACCCTTGGAGTTACAAGGGAAAGCTGAGAGGAACTGCCTATTTTACTGCTTTGAAACTGGGCGACGTATTACGCACTGCTTTCGTCTGAGTTTCTTGAAGGTTTTTGTTACAAAACAAACACTTCTGTGGGATGCTTGTAATCTTAAGAATAGTTTAGCTAGGAAGTAGCTTACGGTAGCTTTAGTGACAGAACACTGCGAAAAAAATCCTGTCCATATAATCGTACAAAAAATTATGACATTAAATGACATAACATTAAAAGCCATCTGGTATTACAAAATGGTCATGCAACAAAACAAGAATTCCAGATTCTGTGTGGGCCCAGAAGCAATAAATATGTGCAAACAAGTTTTCAAAAACCTAAGGAGAAAAATATCAAATTGTTTTATTAATAATGACTTCTCATTACTGATGAGACAATTGCCATATACCAATCTGAACTATGAATGTAAGCAGATACTGCTAATTTCTTCAAAGACTGGAGTTTGGGTTTTTTTTTCAAACTGCTTGTCTGTAAAACTGTGCTGCACAGTAAAACTGTGCTGATGAGCATAAAAGATACCCTTTTATAGTCTTACCCTCTACTTCTCTATCAGTCAACCACCAAAAAGATATTCCAGTCCTTTGCCTGTGACTGATACACGATAATCGGTGTATCAAGATCTGAATCATTCTGCTTGTCCATTTAGCACATTGACACATTTGCTGTCTTCCTTACCTTTGGAATTTTCCTGGTACAGGAAACTTTATCAAAAATACCATGAGTGAACTAGAGACCTCCTCCTCCTTTTCTTTCAGTGCACTGGTACACAAGTTAATCAGACTAGTTGAAGTGTTCTTTAACATCCTCTATAGTTACTAATAAAACATTTAGTTACTAATGAAGGATAAGAAAGTGACTGTAGTAGTCAGTATGGATTGATGAAGGGGAAATTGCATTTAACCAACCTGATAGCCTGATAGGATGAGGGGAGAGCAGTCAATGTTGTTTCTCTTGACTTTAGTAATGCTTTTGACGCTGTCTCCCATAACATCCTCACAGACAAGCTGATGAAGTATGGGATAGGTAGGTGGTCAGCAAGGTGGACTGATAACTGGCTGAACTGCTGGGCTCAGAGGGTTGTGATCAGCAGCACCAAGTCCGTCTGGAGGCCAGTCACTAGTGGTGTCCCCCAAGAGTTGATCTTGGGGCCCGTTTAACATCTTCATTAATGACCTGGATGATGGGAGCAAATGCACCCTCAGCAAGGTTGCAGGCCATACAAAACTGGGAGGAGTGGCTGATACACCAGATGGTTGTGGTGCTATTCAGAGGAACCCCGACAGACAGGAGAAACGGGCAGAGGGGACCCTCCTGAAGCTCAGCAAAGGGAAGTGCAAAGTCCTGTGCCTAGGGTAGAAGAACCGCATGCACGAATACAGGCTGGGGGCTGACCAGCTGGGGAGCAGCTTCTCCTTTGCAGAGAAGGAGCCGGGGAGTCCTGGTGCACATGAAGTTGAACTTGGGCCAGCAATGCAGCCTCATGGCAAAGAAAGACGGCCAATGGTATCCCGGGCTGCATTAGGAAGAACATTGCCAGCAGGTCGAGGGAGGTGATCCTTCCCCTCTGCTCAGCGCTGGTGAGGCCGCAGTTGGAGCGATGGCCAATTCTCCTCGCAGGACCAGAAAGGCATGGATTTACTGGAGTGAGTCCAGCAAAGGGCCACAAAGATGATTAAGGGACTGAAGTGTCTCTCATCTGAGGAGAGGCTGATAGAGCTGGGACTGTTTAGTGTGGAGAAGAGGAGGTTCGGGGAGATCTTATCAATGTGTGTAAATGTCTGGTGAGAGGCTATAAAGAGGACGGGGCCAGACTCTTCTCCGTGGTGCCCAGTGACAGGACAAGAGGCAATGGGCACAAACTGGCACGCAGGGAATTCCACTTGAACACAAGAAAACGCTTTTTCACTGTGAGGATGGTTGAACACTGGACCAGGTTGCCCAGAAAGGTTGTGGAGTCTCCAGCCTTGGAGATATGATGGTCTCCATCCTCCATCAAAGCCCAATTGGACATGGTCCTAGGCAACGTGCTCCTGGTGACCCTGCTTGAGCTTGGGATGTTGGACTAGATGATCTCCAAAGTTCCCTTCCAACCCCAACTGTTTTGTAATTTTGTAAACTGTGAATCTGTGAGCATGGTGCAGAGATACCTCAGGTTAGCCCAGGTCCAACAAGGCTTCTCATTGCCAGTTTTGCAGTGCCATCGCTGATCTGCTCCCTGTATTGTACTCCTTAGTTGCACCTGAGCTGTACCTGAGTTTTCCATGAAGCAGAGCATCCCAGCTCTCTATTGTCCCAGAGAATGGAGAACAGAGTGCATTTCTCTCCCAAGGCAGATTTTCTTAAAAGCTCATCCTGGCTCAGTTGCAAGCCAGGACATAATCCAACACGTACTGAAAAAGGAGAAATAGCTTCTGAGCTTGTAGCTGTTGTGCAATCAGGAATCATAATCATCAAGAACTTTTCAGGTTATGTTTCGTAACTCATCTTCGCAGTTAAATCTTGCTCTCTCATGCCAAGAGTCCAGACATTGTAGGACAGCTGAATAATCTAGCTGCTTCCTGCCTGGATGTTCTGTATATATAGCTTTCTGTTTTGTTCTGCTAGAGGCAATTTGCTTTATAGTTGTGTTGTGGAGTAATTCCTGCTTCTTTTCCCCTTTATGTCATTAAATTATCAGTTCACTTTTTTTCAGTTTCTAGTGTTTCCACTTCCTTTGCTGCTGACAAAGGAGTCTTTGTTTTCTCGGATGTTGTATAGTGCTAAGGTTGCAATTCCAGACCATGTGCTCCAGTGAGGCCACTCGCTTTCACTACAGTTCTCTTCTGTTCAGTAGCTAAAAGGAAAATATGGCCCATGTGAGACAGGTGAAAGCGTTGGCTCTGCCATCATCCATAACAACTTTCTGAAATGAACAAATGAACACATCCCCAAAACAGATCATACTCGATCTCCGGACTGCCACCAAAATATCCCCTTTGCTCTTTTTACTTGCCTTAGGTCTAGATCTGTTAAAAGTCTGGCAAAACCTACAAGTTTCCCTTAACTGAAGATCTGTGATATTGTTGTTTCATGCAGATGGCAGCACTTGCTTTTAGAGGGCATAATTGTTTTCCCCTTTTGTTACTATAGATTGCAGATCCCCTTTGCAGAGAAAAGTCTCTTGTCAGATGCAGTGTCTTGATTTCTCTAACTTTCAGTTCAGCTGCTGGGAGCGTGCATCCAGGAACAGGGCTCAGTCACAATATTTCTGTATCACATGCCTTTGTGTTCTCCTTTTTTGATTTCTGTAGATGAACATCTGCAATAAACCTCCTAATAAGACAGCTCCAGAGAATTTGGGTGAAGGTATTCCTGAGGTCCAGGCCCAACGCGCTCGAAGGAATGGCTGGAGCTGGCCTCCACATCCCTTCCAGATTATCGCCTGGTTGTTGTACTTCTTCTTTGCGCTGGTTGGCTTTGGAATTCTGGTTCCTCTTCTGCCCCTTCACTGGCTGCCCGCTGGCTATATTGTATCCTTTGATCCAGAAGAGCACCTGAACTATAATAAAGTATCAATGAGAATTAAAAAAAAAAAAATCGTTAGGTAGCATAGAAAGCATAGGAGAAAGCAGTCAAGCCAGAATTTTTTCTGAACTATAACCATAATCTTGATCTTCTGCAGTCTGTTAAAAACACTTATTTTGAGATCCTCTTTGTCCATCAACTTTAGGCAGATTACTAACTCGATTCTACTTCTCTCCTTCATCACTCCCTATTAGAGTTACTGTCTTTGCCTCCAAAGCTCTTACACTGTCTCCTCCTGCCTACGTATCTCCTTTTCCTAATATTATTCTTCTGTATAAACTTCTACTACAATTGTGCTGCACGGTTTGAGAGCAGTCATCCTGAAAAAAAAAAAGCCTCCTTGAAACATCCTTGCTGTGATGGGCAGCCACACTTTGCTGTGCTGATTGAATGAGTTTTGAAAGGTAGCTTTGTATGCTTGTGATGGTAGGTAAGCTTCTCACAGAGGCCTCTTCCTGTCCTCTGTAGAAAGATTATGAACAAAAGACAAGGTGGTGCATTGTGAACATCAGAGAAGAGGTCTATCATGAGAAAATCTTAAGCAGCAGTATAATATGCATGTAACAGAAGTATCATTACTCTAAATACGAGCAGTATCAGAAGATAATAGAACTAGGTGCTGATACTATCAAGGCATCTTGTCTTGTGTGCTGCCCAGCAAAGCCTAACTCGACCCAGCCCGTTTGTGTTTTCTGCCTCCTGTCCTCTATCCACCTCCCTAAGGCCGCGTGCTCTTTTTGCTCCTGTGGCCAAGGAGAGGGACTAGCTTGTGCTACTCTTCCCACTGTCCAGTTACACTGGTCCCATTCCCCACTAAGGCTCTGGGGTGGAGGAGAACTGCTGCATGTGCAGGGTTTAGAGTTGTGTGAGTCTCCAGAAGGGGCTGTGCCAGAGTATGGGATCCTGTACTGGGAAGAAATCCTGGTAGTCTCAGTGCCACCTTGTACTGTGAACTTCCTCAAAGCCAGGCCCTAACTCCTGGAGGATTAGATTGTCTAGGGAATGGCAAACGAGAAGAGGGAGGGGGTGAATCCTGAGATTTGAATTCAGTACTAACGAAGCTGGTAAAGGGTTAGAGTGCATGAGCAACTGTTTGCTTTTGTCATCTCTCCGATAACATCTTTCCTGGTGAAAATAAAACTGGCTAAGTGGATCAGTGAGAGTCAAGCTGTAAAGTCTGACTTTGCTTATGAAATGTCATATAAAGCCAAGAGAAATTTGTCCATGTATATTTTTGATGTGCATAACGCACACATTTTTGATGTACAGAGGACTTCCTTGTTGTCAAAGGCCAAATTAGAATGAAATTAAAGAGTCCCATTAGTGCTTGTTGTTTTTACTAGGTTCATCTCTGGCAATTCCTATGAAGATAATTCCAGATATGTCAGTCTTACTGTATCAAAAACCAAGGGGAAAATTTAACATTGTTCTGTAACTGGAAACAAGAAAAATCTGTGGTAACAGCCTATTTTGCTTTTCATAATTGCAGCTTCCTTAGCAGAACCAGATAACCAAGAAATGTTGAAGACAGAATCCCGGGGAAAGTTCTAAATATGTGTTACTTGGATATGCGCTTCTATAATTGGTACATTTGATTTAAGTATGTCCATATAGCCTTTGATACATTTGGGATACTTTTTGTATTGCTTTATCATTGGTTTAGTTACATTTGCATGACTTACACATAATAACATCATTAGCTAACAATGATCTTAAATCTATCCTACCAAATATCTTTGTGTTGTCATGGTTCAAACTTCTTAAGTAGATCTGCAGAATATCTTCATACCTCAATCTAAACACAGTCTAATTCAACAGATTAGTGTTTCCCAAAGCTTTACTATCAGTTAATAAAGCACTAATGTTTCTTTTTTGTCAAAGGTGAATCCCTTCCCATTCTATTACTTCGTTAAAGCTCCAGTCAGCTAGGCCTCAAAGACTTCATTTTTTTCCCTAGTTACACTGCTGCAATTTCCATAAACGGTAGCATGGTCAATGGTGTACATAACTGAATGTATAACAAATAAGTTGGAAGATTAATTTTTGGGTGCATGTTTATTAAATTACGTATATATATTGAGAAGCAAACTCCAGAGCACTGTAGTATGCCAGACATGTAAGGCTACTGTTTTTTATTCTTTTCAAATATTGGCAGCTCAGATGTGTGGTCAAAAGTACTCCTCAAGTTTTTTTTCCTCTGACTTGTTACTGCAGTTAGAAATAAGAATCCAAATAGGTAATCTTAGAGGAAGAATTACAGGTCTTAGATACCATCTTTCATTAAATTGTGTAGAATTCTACTTTATTAGCTTTTACTGGGGATTCCGACTAAGGAAAAGGAAGCAAGATGATCAGTAGCATTTCCTTGATATGACTTTTTTTTCTTTTTTGGAAGTTTAATCTTGTGAGGGGGCATGTGCATGGCCTTAACTGGCTGTTCCTTTCCAAGGATTCTGTGTGGACTAAGAGATGAGGACCTGTGCCAACAGTCTGCTCACAGGGTCAGATTCTGGTAAGCAAAGGTAAGTTTTAAAAACTCCTGTAGTAGGAAGTACATTTCTGTGAGGCAGAGAAGTGCATAATAAGGAGGGTTGTTCCTGTAGATTTAGTTATGTTTACCCAGACAGTATTTACTGCAGAGAGACAATACTGGTGAAGCTCAGATGAATGTGCTGTAATCAGTTATATAGTAATTTCTAATGAAAAACCATTACTTCTCATCTATGTGAGCTTTGTATATTAAGAATAAATATATAGACATTAAATGGCTCATACAATCCTTAACTGTGTACTTCAGTGTCCAGGAGTGTGTTTTATCTACCATTTAGTTGTTCATCTTACTGCAGTCTCCATTGATCCTGCGGATACCAATGTGCGCAAAAAAAACTATCTGGGGCCTCTGGCCACCTTCAATCGTAATCAGCATGAACATGTCATTGAAAATCGTCATTGCCATGTCTGTGATGTAGATGTGTAAGTATCTTCTCTTTTCCTCTGTTAATCTCTCTTCATCACCATTAGATATAAGATTGAACTTGAGTCCCTGAAGTTCTTAACTCTGAAGTGACATTTAAAGTTCACCCTGTGACAGTCAGTTGGGTAGGTGTCCATTGTCAAATGTGGACATGGTTCTGTGTGACTGTTTTTAATCACTCTTATGTTGTGTAGAGAGGACTGTACTGAGTGGTTCTGTGTTCTTTGGATGTTGTTGTTTGATCTGAGAACAGGATGCAACTTCTGTGTGTGTGTGTTTGGATTTGACTAGACACTAATTTAAAAGCTGGAAAAGTTTGCAGGGAAGATGAAGCTTTGCAGAATTGCTAAAGGACTTCAAAGAATAAGAAATGGATGATCTCCAAATTGGAAAATACACAGTGTATAGAAAAGGCAAGTTTTGCAGTGTTTGTGATTGTGGTCCGAGAACAGCCAATAGCTTTGGGTGTTTACGCATTCCTAATGTAATGGGTTTTCTCAGTATTGCCAGGATCTCTACTGCTGTACCCCTCTGTATTTGTCTCACTGGAAAGTTGTGGTAGCAGGTGGGTGACGCCACTCTAATACCACCCTTTCTTTGACAGGAGTGCCAAGTCAAAGCACTGCGGAACTTGCAACAAGTGTGTGTGTGGCTTTGATCACCACTGCAAATGGCTCAACAACTGTGTGGGGAAGAGGAATTACTGGTAAGGGTCTGTCGTCATGACAGGAACACAACCCTGCACAAATAATATCCCCTTTCTCCTCCCAGGACTCTCCTGCCTCTCAGTTTAGTCTGTACTCTGTCACAGAAAACAACTTTTCTTTCAGATCCCAGCTGAATAAAATCAGTCGTGAGGAAACTAGATGGAGATACAAGCATGACTAGGACATTCAAATAAAGGGAGTGATAAACCTCCTACACTTAGAATTTTGTAGTCGAACATCCACTAGTAAAATCATTTGGTATAATCAATTATTTGGTATTAGCAAAAACTGATGAGATGTTAATGGGGTGTCCTTAATGCTTCTGAAGCATGATCATACTGTTGTCCCTGTCTTAGAAACAACTTGAATCCAGATTGCCTCTCCTGTGAGACTTGCCACATAGCAGGAGTTAAAGCAGCATATAGGCAACTCTGATCTGTCCTGGGTCTAAGGTAAAGAATCAGGAAGCTATCACTGATGACTGCTGCTCAGCTTATTTTCCTGCACTAGAACCATAAGGAAAGCAAGGAATTGTTACTGCTGGGTGGCATGTCGCACTGCTATGAGATTTTGTGCTGGGAGGTCTTTGTCTATCCTAGAAATACTGGACTTGACTACAATTGCTTTCAGGGGTCACAATTTAGAGTCCCAGGATGACAAATCAGAAATAAGATTGTTATCCAGTATCTATAACGAGTGTAAGAAAGTGCCACAGTAATTTGACATAGCTGTCTATATCTTTGTCTCTTTACTATTAGAGATTGAGATTTTGAATGTGTATGTGTGGTATTATCGAAACACTAGATTTGTATTTTGCACTGAAGTCACTCACACTTATCACCTTTTTGGCAGGCTCTTTTTGAATAGCGTGCTGTCTGCCATTCTGGGCCTTGGCCTTCTGCTGCTCATAGCTTTCTACGTCTTTGTGGAGTTCTTCATTAACCCCATGATGCTTCGCTCCGACCAGCACTTTGAAGGTACTACCAGAGCTTCAGCTGAGCATCTTCTGAATAAGTCAGCATATCTTGAGGGCCAGCTGTATATGGGATTGGATTCTGTGGGCTGATCCACTGAGGTGGAACTCTCTTCCCTTACTCCTTCAATGTTATATTTCTGCAGGAATATCTCTGCTTAGCTGGACTGTTTCCTTCCAGAGCCTACCAACTGCTCTTCCAATGGGCCTTGCATATGCCAGGTTTTATAGGTCTCAAGGGCATAACTTTGGGTCTACTGCTATTTTTGAGTTAACAGTATTTCCGGGCGTAAAGTTTAGTTAGAGATGTTTAATACCTAGACAATCTACTTGCCTCCTACTCTTGTTTTCATACCTTTACCATAGTATGTTTTCCCCTTTAGTTCCCTGGCTTGCCTTCTCCTTTGATTTAAGTACTCATTCTCTAACTGCACTGGCTTTCTTTCCTCATCTGACACAACTTTGTGCCTTGCTACCTCACTTCCTAACTCTTGATATTTTGGAGTTTTCATTGCAGTGTTATGTTTTTCTTTTACAGTTCTAAAGAACCACACAGACGTCTGGTTTGTGTTTCTTCCTGCAGCTCCTGTTGAGACTCAGGCACCTGCCATTTTGGTCTCAGCTGGGGTTTTTATTCTTCTGAGCCTAATGACCGTGTTCCTGCTAGGCCACCTCTTGACCTTTCACATCTATCTTAGTAGGTATTATGTTCCTGTCATCTGCATCCCATTTCATTCTCTTGTAGCTTCTACTCATTCTGTGTTCATTGTGTGTTCACCCATATCAAAAATATCACAGAATATACACACAAATATGTCACATACATGTGATGTCACAGGAATATGTTACAAATATAGACACATTGTGCAAGAGTGTCATTGAGGAGGTAGAAATTTTGGATTTAGCATTATGCTTTTGGTTTTCCTCAGAGGTCCTGTCTTACCGCAGTTTGTAGAAGTCACATTACATGCTATTTTTGAATTTCTGTAGCTTACACAAATTTCTCTTTCACCAAGTACAGTTCAGAATCCAGTAAGGAGAAAGTACTCTACAAATGCTTGATTTGGGATGAATCTCTTTCCTCCTGTCTGTAAGACCTCAGATAAATGTTCTTATTGTTTCCAAAATTCAAATTAACCCTGTAGATTTCAGTAGAATCGTTTTTTTTGCATCCCAGAGCATGCATTTGGCCTAAGTTTACCGAGTCTCCTGTCAGCCTGATCTTTATCTGGGGATAATCACATATCTGTCTGCCTAAAGGCCCATCTAGAGGCCTTTTGTATCTTTCAAAAGGGTGGAATGAAGCCAGTGAAAAACTTTTTCCCACCTTAGTCAGATTTCCCAGGAACAATTTAAGGTTATTATATCAGGAAGTTCTAATGAAGCCAGCACAGCTTCATAGAGATTACCAGCCATCAGCACCATTTCTTTCATTCAGGACTGAATCACAGTAAAAATTAGAGTCCTGATAAACTTGGAGTTCCCATGCTGAACAATATTGATAGCCGTTTCCTGAACAAGTTGGATTAAGACTGGACAATTGCTAGTAAGTCCTTAAGATTAAGGGAGGGCATCTTGCCTGTAAGACTAGATGAAGGAAATAAATAAAATTTCCTAACAGGATTTTTCTTGCTAATATAATAGTGTGGGACTTTATATAAAAAATACATGCAATTGTATATAGTCTACAGGATGCTTATCGGGATCACATTTATCTGGGTTGCAGATAAATTCCAGCTGGCTCTGTTTAAAGTCCTCTTGGTGCAGTAGGACTTACTAGCTCAGGTACTGCGTGATGTGAGCAAGGTGCACACGCACATTCTTAGCAACACTGTATAATCAGTTTGGCTCTTCTGTGGTTTGTGCTTATCCCAGACTACTAAGATCAGCTACGTTCTACTGACCCACAGTCCCCCACAACTGCAGTACCAGGCAGGCTTAGCAGTGCATGTGCAAGATGCGGCCCAAGTTAGGCCTGTGCGTTCATGTACCTAAACTATTCCATCTTGGAACTCAAAGCATAAGGGAGGCCGAGTGAGACGAACCAGTTAATTACAGCTCAGTTCCAGCGATGGCAGATTCAGATTGGCTGATAGGGACTTTTGTGACTTTTTTCACTGTACTTCGATTATATGAGAGATCCTATTTCTCCTTTACCTTAGGTAAGTGTGGACAGTATAGGTTTGATTTTCTAATAGGGGTCCTATCCCAGATAAAGATCTCATTATAGAATTTGTACTATATTCACACAAAATGATTCATGGAGTTCAGAGGAAGAAGTAATCAGAAGGGATTTTGGTTAGATCTCCCATTTGTTGCTCCATCCAAAAGGGAAATTTATATTTGGAAGTGCAGATGGGCATCAAAAACCCTTTTTTCAGTCATCATCTAAAATGAAGCCAGTGCTACTTGGCTGCCTTACATGAGTTATGACGAGAAAAGATCTTACACTTGAAATTGTCACTGGTGCCAGAACTAGAGAAGAAGGTACATGATGGAAGAGGAATGAGAATGCAAGTTACAGACTATCCTTGGATGGATTTTTATGTTGTCAGCTCACAGTGATTACTGGTGCCACCACAAACTAGGTCAGCGCAAACCACTGAAGTTCCAGAAGCAAAATAGTTACACTTGTGAAGTGTAGCATTTGATGGATGAGGGCTCTTCGGTTGACATTCATGTTGCAGTCAACGGAGTCACTGACAGTTGTTTTCCTTTTAGAATTTCTTGGAGCATAATTAAATTTGGTCACGCTGTCTGTGATTTCGCTTGCTTTGTATAATTGAAAGTTGACTATGCTAGGTTAATGATGACAGTTGGAGATTTCAAAGGTCAGTCTAGCACTGTAGAAAGACTAAAAGCATAACAATGCTGGGGCCACTCCAGGAAAACTTCCTTTCGATGGCAGCGAAAGGATTATCCAGTTTAGTAGTGAGCTGTACCCTGTTTTTGTGTGCAACGTCCACAAGAGGGTGCTCCCTCCTTGGAATAAGGACATGCTTTCTCTTGCACAACCGTAATGTGTAGGTGTTATCCCAGTTTTCCCTTTTTTTTCTGTCCTGTTTTTGTTTTTGTTTTGGGGTGATCTTTTTTCCTCTTTCAAAATAATTTTTGAGCCAAATTAAGTTTTCTTTTGGACCCAATTTTAAATATTTATGACTTGCATAGAAACAAAATTTAATTATTGTTAATGTTTATTACATTAAAGTCTACTACTCCATTGAAACTGGTTCCAGCTGTGATCAATGTTGTGCAGTGTGTATGTCCTTGCTTAAAAGGAGTGATGCTGCCATACTGAGGCCAAAGTTTTGTGTTATGTAAGACCCAAGTATTACCATTACAGCTGGGATTCAGATGGACAAAGCATGTCTATTTTAAAGAAAGAAAAATTATATATTCATCTTATTTCACACTTTTAATTTTCAGTAGTTTCTTCTGAATGTTTCCAAGCAGGCAGTGTTGAAATGAACTGTCTAGCCTTTTTGGGGACTAGTGGTACAGGTTAAATTAAAACATAATTATAGTTTATAAGCATTTATTTCAGGAAGCTGATTTTCATATTTAAATTACAGGAAGAAAATAGCACCTCTGTGAGTGGAATTGCCCTTAAGTTTCACATAAAAAATAACTTAGAAAGGTACAGCTATTAGAGTTTTAGAATCTTGCTTTGTTACGAACACAGAAAAATTTTCAGAAGTGGTCTACTTTTTTAATTGCTCCCTGCGATCACTCAAAAGGAAGTAGGTTGTTCTCAAAATAGTAGCTCCAGGTGTGCTAAATTACCAGTCTTGACTGAGATTCAATTCAGTCAGTGATCATGGCACTTCAGAAGTTTGGAGGAAGGGGGTTTCAGGGAGCAGGGAGGTTTGGTACTCAGAGGCCAAAAAAACCCAAAAACATTTAGTAGGGAGTATAGGAAAGAATATGTGGTTCTTCATAAGCTATGATTATATGTTGCAGATTATATGTTGCAGTGTTATCTAGCCAGATAAATGCAGTATTTTTTAACTAAATAACTCCTTAAAATATTTTAAAAGTTGCACTGGTAAGTACTCAGAAACCAAAGAATTCTAAAGTGAAGATGATATATAGCCCTTTATTTATGAAGCAATATTCTATTTCTCAAATAAAGCATACAGAAACAATTCTAAGAGCATTTACTAGCACCCTGCACTGCCCCTGTAAAGTGCAATCCCTAATCACTTAGCTACAAACTCACGTTCCTTTTTATGCTCTATCTTCCTGCCGAAATGGTTCTTGAATTCTTTTTTACTCATGAAAAGAAGGTTATTGCTCTAACAGGAGGGCACCTTCTTCTCTCTTCTCCCCCACTTCCCTGCAAAGTAGTCCTGTGCATGGTTTTGAGAGGTAAGGTATTACAGATTTGAATGTTTTCAAGCAGAGCAAGGATTTTAGTCTGGTTCTCTTTATCCTAGGCATCTGCTTTAACTACTATGCTACTGTATTAAGGAAGAATGACTACCAGGCTGCACATTAAAAAAAGTGCAGCAGCTGGTTTTGTATTTTTTGCTCTAAAAATACTTACCATATCAGGTTCATTAGGGGAGGAATCCTCATAATGGAGTTCCAGATCCTCATAATGTTTTAGGTCTCATGAAGAACCAAGCTGCTCAGAAATGTCAATATAGACATACTTTTGGTCATGCATGGAAGCAGATGTGGTTTTTTTGGGGGGGAGGACTTTAAGAGTATAAACTCAGTCACATGTAAACTTTGGATGTCTCTAGGATTTGGCAGCAGCAGTCAAGCATTTGATGCTCATTGTTTTGAACATAGATGTCTCTATCTTCTTTATGGGACAAAGTAACCTGTTGGAGCTTTTTGATTTTCCCCAGCCTGGAAGATTACAGTTAGTTTCCAAGACTGCAGTTAGCATTAGATATCTTTTGACAACTCTCTGAGCTTTCTGTACAATTCAAATCTTTAACATACTGGATCTAAATAATGGGTTTGCATCTCTCTGGAATATGCTGAATAAATTGCTATAGCATAGAAGAATATACCAAATAGATGAGACTTTAGAAGAATAGTGTGACTATGAAGAAGTGTACAAGTACAAAGGTATTTTTGTCTTAGAGTATCTGACTCTTCATGTTTATAGTTACTATTTAATTGCATATGTTATTTGAATCGTTCTCGAGAAGTAAATGTAATTGGAGGGTGGCATTTCACGCACTGATATCTCCCTTCCTTTTTTCCCAGTGTGGAACAAATTGACTACGTATGAGTACATTCTGCAGCAGCGTCCACAACAAGAGGTGAAAGAGGTAGATGGACAACTGGAATCTTGTCCCTCCCAAGTGAGACCCAGTCAGGTACTTGTTGTTTTTTCAATCAGTTTCTCAAAAAACAGCCTCACTTATCTGCTGTATCTAGTTTGCTTCAGTTCTGCATGCTCCAAATTTTAGAGGCAGTTGCTAGGGATAAGACTTTTGAGGTACTTTGGTGGAGTTTAGTAGAATGTGAGAGAGTCTAAGCCTGTAGCCTGAAGAACAGTTTAGGCATAAGCAAGCACTACTTTCAAAAGAATCAGTCCCACCCACTCTCTTGTCTCAGCCACTTGTTTTGGTCTCTGCACTATCTGTTCCCTTCTGCCAGTGCAGCTGTTTGTTACAGTCACACAGTCAACAGGGTGGGGGATTCTCATCTGGATAAGGTTATACTTTAAAAAAAGATAGTTGAGCTAGTGTATAACTGAGCTAGTTCCCTCCTGTTTGGTTCACCAAGCAGTCACGTAAATGTTTGTGTCACCATGAGAGTACGTGACTGAAGAGTCGAAAGGGTCCTGTTACTGGGGAGGACACGATCATCTGTTTTGGTGGAAGTGTCACATTTTGCTGGCTTGTGCAAGTGGTCTCATGTCTAAGAGCAAGACACGTCCTAAGACTGGAGAAATTGGGGTTAATCATTGAGCAGCTGATATCAAATTGTTTTGCCATCTTGAAAAAGGAAAGGACACAAATTCTGTTCAGAAAGGACCTAGATAGCTTTGCTTTATTTGAATTGAGCTCTACAAAAGTGATAAGTATCTGTCTGATTATTATGATGTTGATCTGTATCTCTGTAAAAGAGGTCTACAAGCTTTTTAGTGCTACCATACTGTGCAGTGGCATATATGCTATTCATTCAGATATTTGATGTAACTTACTTTGCTGGAAGGCAGCTCCGTCCTTGGGGATTCTCAAAATTTGACTGTTTTAATTGTACTGCTTTGAATGGGAGATTGGCCTAGGGACTTCCAGAAGTTCTTTCCAGTCTAAATTATTCTGTGATTCTGTGATCCCTTGTAACTCCATCTAGTTCCGTAGTTACCTATTATACAAGTGATTTTATATTTCATAAGAAATTCATTTCTCTCCTGTATGTAGACATACATTTTTCCTGATTTAGAATTTATCATTATCTCTGGACTCATTAGTGGTTTTTCCCTATCAGAGGAAAGTGGAAAATGAGTGAATTCCCTTTTTGTGTAGTATGGAGACCTCAGCTTTTCATATGCATTTTTTTGCTGGCTTGGAAAAGTTGAACTTTCAGTTTGAACAGAGGTTTCCATAACAACAAAGATGTTTGGCACTTTGTCTCCTAGAGCTTTGCTTACCATCAAAATGAAAAATAAAGCTTTAGGTCAAATCATTTTCTTGTTACTGAATTTTGACTGATACTGAAAATATACCTGAACAAAGGTGGACTCTGTACTTATGTATATTTGAGATGGGACCGTTCAGTGATGTTCTCCTGTGTGCACCAGTGCTTGTGTAGATCTATGTGAATATGGTGAATTTGAAGCAGCAAGCCTAGAAGAAGCAGGGTGAAAAGGAGTTCTTTATTTCAGGACTACAGTTCCTTGGGGAACAATAAAAACTAGAAGATGCCCAGTAATGTTGTTAAGAAAAATGTTAACCCACCAGATTTTTCTTGTTTCTGACATAGCAACCAGAGATAAACACAAACAAATAGATTGGAGTAGGAGTACACCAAGTGACTTGCCTTTTATGAACTAAGTTCTGTTGACTACAGCCTTTTTTAGCTCGAGCATAAAAATCCTTTGTAATTGATCCAAGATGTTGCAAGCAGAAAATGGAAATCATGCTGTTCCCACCTTTTTCTTAACTATTCATTCATTTTAGGGAATAAGAAGAAGCATGTGTTTCCCCTTCAATACATATATTTGAGTCTCATTCAAGCCTGAGTGTTGGTTTTGGCTTCAGTTTTACACGTTTGTCTGTTAAGTCTTCAGCCACATTCAGATTAAAGGATTCTTATGTACACATAAAGATCCTTCTCAGAACATGCACAAAGTAAAAGTACTAAGTGATTCAGAGATCACAAAAATGCAGAAAAGTTGGACATATAGTCTTTGGCTCTGTAATGATAGCCAAAGCAGCACGTGTAAGTAAAAGTTTTTCTGCAGATAGTTACACAACAATCCAAAGAAATATGAACTAAACCAAAAACTATGCTTTAATGCATAGCTGCATTCACACCAGGGAGCTGACTTTCAGAGTGAAAACCTGTTGGGATGTGATTTTTTTTCACACTCCTAAGCTGAGATGTAAAAAATTTGTCATAGAGACCAGTCTAAAGCCACAGTTTTCCTGTGCCATGCATATCAGTATTATGACAGCATTCATTATATGGCAGACTAACATAGATACAGAAGACAAATTCAGCTTGTAGAAAAAGCTCTACTTTTAACTAGTGCACAGTTTTATAAGAAATGGTATAATCCCTATCACAAGGGTGGCAATTTTCACTAAGTTTCAAAGGTTTAGCACTCTTAAGTGTTGTTATCATTAGTGGTATATGGAAGCATCAGTACAGTAGAAGACAGGTGAGGGTTGAATGGTGTGGGATAGAAGGTGAGGTTTACCTCCTATAGACTAGTACTATGATATTTTCTTTTTCATGATTTGAGGAGTTGTTGAGTATTACCAAGTGAGAAGTAGGAAGTTTTTTATTTCCTGGATACAACTCTTCAGGAAGAATCCACTGTGAAGAGACATTTCTGTTTTGTTAGTGAAACATCATACATATGTTAAACGGATAGGCATTTTAATATATTTTGAAAAATAAAAAGGCATTCACTATGAGTTATTTATCTGTTCTCTTGAAATAATATCCAAATTTACTGAAAGTTGCATGAATAGTTAAGAAAAAGATCTAGAAATAATACTATGAAGATAACCCTGAAAATAACACAGAACCAAATATATGACTGAGACCTCTACAGGTAACTCTGGAACATAATGCCTGAGCAACCAACTTCCCTCACTATTTGAATAAGCATAAAAAAATATGTCCACCAAAGTAGAGCCTGTTTTGAACTAAATTTATGGGTTGGTTAGTCAGCAGTTGTATATTTTTGTAGTTATTTTTGTCTCTAGAAAGACATTGCCATATAGACCCTAATTTTGGGACATACAATGAGGGGTGCTGATAGGATGGTATCCTAAAGAGTATATCATTGCATTACTCTACCATAGGCTAGAAATTCTGATTAATAGCTATCTTTGCAATAATATTTACTTTATGATACTGTTTCTTTATATTCTGGATATCCTCACCATAAAGGTTGGGTTTCTTGGTCATTATATTGTTGTTGATTTACTTTGGACACTAATTAAGGTTGATGAGATTTGATTTTAAACGCTAAACAGATTTTACTCTGCATCCTTCACATTTTCAGTGTTGTTTCTGTCTTCTAATGTCTGGTCAAATTCAGTCTAGTCTTTATTCTCAGCCTCAACACTCGCAGCAGACTCTGTTTCCCTGGGCCAAAAATCACATTTTTCCAGTCGATTCTGCCTCTCCTCCAACTTGACAGTGTTTTAGGGTATTTTTCTTTCTGTCACTGAAATGGATGATGAGAAGGACAGCTGCTGTGGGCAGGGAGCTGAATTTGACCACAAGTTGTAATCGTAGAGCTTGGGAAGAAAGGCAGACACAGCTGGTATTTGCCTTTAGAAGGGAGAGAGATGGAGCATGGCCAGGAATTGTAAGGTGGCAATGAACTTGGGCAAACAAATGAGTGGTCTGTTTGCTGTAAGAGCAAGACCTGAACCCTAAAAGCACAATCTGTAAGGGTAGCTTCATCTTGCTGTTGCAGTTGAAGGAGACTGGACATGCTGCTGAGGGCTACATGGGAGCTGAGGAGGACTGGGGCTGGGCACAGTAGCTGTCTAAGTGTAGCTTTTCTAATACTGAGAGAATATTCTATTTTCTACTGATCAAGTCTATTTCCATTTATTTCTGCTAGATAGCCCTTGTGGTTTACTTTCTTTTATGTGGCTGCTTTGGCCATGCATATTTTACAAGGCTGAAATGGACAAAATGGATTTTAAAAAGCCCTTTTATTCCCTGCTTGGAAAGAGTTGTTCATGAAGCTCTCAAGATGTATCATTTATTAATCTCCTTTGAACTGCCAGGCCTGCAGTCCTGCTTGTAGACACTGAGTCCTGATTGTTTTCAGTAACTGTGCACTGTAATGGTCACAGTCCTACGAGGATGTCTCCCGCTGCAGCTCATTTCAGGCACAGTGTAGTTTCCTCTGAAAAGACCTAGATCTCTCCCACTATATAATTGCAAGGATACAAGATTGCATCTGGTCTCCTTCATTTGTGATGCCACATGCATGAGACTTGAATGTAAGCGCTAAGAATTTGGTCTCCAAGGAGCTTAGACAAACATTTACGCACATTTGATTTTCAGTCAGTGATGAGCAATGACCTGACCTGAGTTGCAAGCTACATTTGAAGTGCATGTAGTAAATTCATGAGGATTGTTAATCCTGCTCGCAGGAAAACCCTACTTATAATAGTGAACCCAAAATAGCATACTTCCCAAACCTGAAACCTTGGAAAGTTTATATGCTTAAAACTACTAAACCATTTCTCTTCAAATTTGATGTGAGTACTTACAAACTAGTTGCAAATTGCTTTTCACAGAATCACAGAACGGTTGAGATTGGAAGGGACCTCTGGAGATCATCTAGTCCAACCCCCCTGCTCAAGCAGGGTCCTCTAGAGCATATTGCCCAGGATCACGTCCAGACAGGTTTTGAATATCTCCAGGGAAGGAGACTCCACAACCTCTCTGGGCAACCTGGTCCAGTGCTCAGTCACCCTCACAGTCAAGAAGTTTTTCCTCATGTTCAGATGGAACTTCCTGTGTTGCAGTTTATGCCCATTGCCTCTTGTCCTGTTGCTGGGCACCACGGAGAAGAGTCTGGCCCCATCCTCTTGACACTCTCCCTTCAGATACTTGTACACATTGATGAGATCGCCTCTCAGGCTTCTCTTCTGCAGGCTCCACAGGCCCAGCTCTCGCAGCCTTTCTTCACAGGAGAGATGCTCCAGTCCCCTCCTCATCTTTGTAGCTAGACTCCGCTAGACTCTCTCCAGTAGTGCCATGTCTCTCTTGTAGTGGGGAGCCCAGAACTGGACACAGTACTCCAGAGGTGGCCTCACCAAGGCTGAGTACAGGGGGAGGATCACCACTAAAGCATGAACATGTTACAAATATTAACAAACCTGGAGTCTTTCCAGTTTGGAAACTCTCTTATCAACAATTAAATGAGTAACGTGACTCCAGACGTTCATGCCAAGATTTTCAAAAGTAGCTAGTAATTTTGGAAATTTCTCTTCTGGCATGTAAAGAAGACCAGCCAAAGTTGATCAGACCAGACTGTGCTGCTTCTGACACTGGTCAAGTGTGAAGGCTAAGAAAAAGAGTACAGGAACAGAATATACGTACGGGCCCCATAACACTCTCCCAGCATTTGGGAATAGTGTCTAGGGGCTTCTGGAACACACAGCTTCTAATGGCTTTGTCCATGCAAGTTTTTCCCACAGTCTTTCCTAATTTCTTCTTGAGTCGGTATAACATTTAGCATCTGCAGGATCCTGTGGCAATGAGCGCTACGTTTAGTTACATACTGGGTCAGAAAATGCAATCTTCTCTCTGTTTGTTTTGAACATACTTCCTGATTGTTTTATTTGATGATACCTAAATATTGTAGAGAGAGACAGTAAACAGTTGTTCCCTATTTGCTTTCTTCATACCACTCCTACCTGCCCTGAGGCTTTTCCTCTCCTGGCTGAAAAGCTCTGGCCCATTAGCCGTTTCTTGTACAGAAACTGTTCCTTACTTTCAATGGCCATGTCAGTCTTCTCTAAACCTTTATCCAGTTCTTCAGTGGGAGAAGAGACGAACTGTACAGAGTATTCAGTGTCCATGCTGCCTATGAATTTATTCAGTGGCATGAAGCTATCTTCTGTTTGTGCTTTTATGTCTTTTCTTCTCATTCCTATCATCTGAAATGATTTCTTGGCTGCAGCTGACCGTGAACTCCATGAATTCTTTTCTAGTTCAGACTATTGCTTTTTATATGAAGTTTAGACTGCTTTTCCTATGTACATTACTTTATATCTAGCAATATTGATTTTCATCTGCCATTTTATCACCCCATAATTCAATAAAACAAGAATCTTCTGCAACTCTTTGCAGTTGCCTTTCATTTTTATTGCCTTACATAAGGGAGTATCAGCAACAGACTTCATCTCACTGTTCTACCCTTTTGTACATTGTTTATGAATCTGTTGAACTGCAGAGGCCCTGGGTCCCTCAGGAACCTGTTTGTGTGATGTCCAACTTTGACTTCATTTTCTCAAGTTTGCTGATCAGGCTCTTCTAAAGAATAGGTCTCCCTGAGTTTGTTTAAGCTTAATAGCTAAAATTGCCAATTGCAATTAAAGTCTTCCCCATCTTTACCACAAAAAGTTTTTACCAACATATTTTTACCAAAAAAATCTGCCTCAAAATCTATCCTTGTCTTTATAGTCTGTGCACTAAATGTTTACAGGAAATTTTTTTGCTAATTATTCAAGTTTAAGAGCAGCTAGGAAAAGTATAGTGAACCAGCACACCTGTGTCAATGATCACTTGAGCATGCTGAGCTTCATAAACTGCATCACTTGGTACTCTGACCGTCTTAAGAGTATACTGCTTTTGAGGGAGAATGGAATCCCTTTTCTATAATGTAGACTCTGAGATTTAGGAGGCTTACTTATTAAGCCTTCTTATGTATATACAAAGGTTTGTAATTTTAAAATTCAGGACGGCATTACTTTGAATTCATCTGTACCTAAATAGAACAAGTAAGATGGAGCATTTTTGTCTGAAAAAATAGCATGATGTTATTAGCCATACAAGATTCACATAAGAAACAGAAATTACTTACCTTTTTTCCTATACATTGTGTGCTTTCTTTTTGTCACCTCAATTTTAAATGAAAAAGATTTTTGCACTTAATTCCTGTTATTGAAGTGTATGGCTAATGAAGCCTTTAAGTGATATTTTAAGTGTAGTCCCAAGAAATGTTAGGCTGGTCTCCATAACTCTCTTCTGATGTGATTGTAAGTTGAGTCACATGAAATACTGGCTGGACTGAATGAAATGAATCATGGATCTCCAATTCTCTCAGTCTTGTTTTTCCATCTTACTTAAGCAGAAGTTTCCTCTGCTGAGTTTCAGCTGTGCTCACTATAAGTGCAGAAAATCCTTGGCGTGTGACTGAGGAAGGGGGAAGAAAACATCTCTGTAGTGCGATTCTGTCTCCTCCACTGTGTGTCCATACTGTTCTGAAAATGTTAATTCTTCTTTTTTTTAGGAAGCAGACTTTTTTTCAGGTAAACCTGGCTATACAGACCTTGATATTCAAGTACAGGACTCTCCGGCTGTAACTTCAGGAAAAAAGTGAGTAAAGTTATAGATAAGAGGCTCCCAGCAGCGTGTATGCTGAATAGAAAGTTATCACCAAAGTCACTGATGGCCCCTGAGCCAGAAATACTTAGGAGAGTAAGGAGCTCCAATGTTTTGACCAAGGTGTGCTGAAGTCTCTGAGTTTCAGGAGAGTAAATGCTTGCAGAAGTGCTTGCCTCCCCTCCGTATCTTTCATAGAAAACTCTGCTTGGACTGTTTTGTATTAAAATTACTCTTGAGGCTGCCTCAAATAGAGCTGGGAGCTGCATTTAAACTTATAAAAAAGTTTCTACAGTGCAACTTAAAAGCGAGATGGTAGGCTTTGTCATAGATGCACCCTTGAGTCTGCTTTGTGAGCAAAAAGGGAAATGTGAAAGCCTGTTAAGTTTGGGATTAAGCTTAGAGAGCTTTTGGGTAGGAAGTGACAGTGAATGATTATCTGAGCTTGCCTTGGAATTAAACAGAAAGCCCAGCTATTGCAGTTTTGAGAGCTTCTTGTACATACCTGGTCATCTGAGTGGCCTCTACAAGGCATGTCTATGGAAGTGTAGCATTTGCATAAGTTCAGCTGAAATTTACCCTAAACCTTCACTTTTTTGCTGCTATGCCTCAGTTCAGCAGTTGGTCATATGACCTGCTCAACACAATGTCCTAGCATACTTTTGCATCAGAAAATCTGACCTTAAACTGTTTCCATTCTCCCTAGATTTTTTCTTGAATAGATTATTTTTGACCCCTTTCCTGTTTCCCTGGAAAAAGTCTACTACAGAAAACACTCTGTTAGAAGCCCTTTTTTCATCTGGGGAAAGAAATCAGTCTTAAAAACATCTTCAGATTGAGTTCATGATGGTTTTGCATTTATACCCCTACATCTGTATATCTCTTCTCAAGCCATAAGGTTTTTCTATCAAAATCAATAGTTTCAACTGCATGTGGAAGCCAGATTACATCACAGAGTATTAATATTATAATATGCTGCTAAGAGCCACGGCTTGACAAAAAAATGGTGTCTTCTGTTATCAGCTTAAATTTCTGGGTGGATTTGTGCAATTTATTTGTGCAATAACTGTAATGAGCTCATTGCAGTTTTAGGGAATCAAGAGACAAGAACCACAGCAACATTTACAGCAGATGAACTGCTTTTCTTTAGGAAAGCACTCATGGTAAAAAAGCATCCCTGTCTGTCTCTTAATTAAGCCTTGCCTATTAACTCCTGTCCCTGGGGAGGGGAGAGGAAACCCTTCGGAGTCTGTGCGCAGTTATGCAGGAACAGTTACACTGCAGTCGTGCTTGGAATGCTGTGCAAAGCAAGAGATGCTTCAGTCAGCCTGACTGAAGCTAGGTATGTGCAAAGAGAATTAAAGTCATTAAAGTTAAGCAGTGTTTAGAGAAGCATCTCGTATGTCTGCCATGTATTTTAGCTTTCCAAAGCTCTATGTCCACAATGATGAAGCAGATCTTGGGCAGAGCTCCTCTCCTGACCTCCAATCTCTTCAGCCTGCAATCCCTTCTCAGGTAAGTGGGAGACTTGCTGCCTTCCATAGCTTCTAATGCTGCCAATTCATGGAGCTGCATGGGTGCACACTCACTTTAGTGCAGTCTGTTTGGGCTAACCTCCTTCATACACATGCCCTTTCTGTCCTCAGCATGTGTGTGCAGATATGGCTATCCCAGGCAGTCACTGCATCCAAGAGAGACTCTCCTGTCTTAGCTCACACATATCATCAGATGTATTGTGTGGCTCCTTCATAAGCTCACAGCTTAGCTGTAATACATGCAGCCTGTACAATATCTTCATGTTCCAATGCAGTCAATGAGTGTATCAATACTACCTCATTGACATAACAAGCTGTACGTTTCTGTAGAGCAAAACTGAACAGTTTATACGTTCAAATTTGGAGGTTAGATCATCTGTCCAGGGAAAGACTATGAGTGGATACAAAGCTCTAGTATATGAAGCAGCTGTCCAGGGTCAAGTTTTCTGCTTTCCTGGGGTTCATGTCCAGATTTTGTTCCCCCCTTCCTTGATCAAATGGCAGGTAGTGGTGCTCTCTCCCTTCCCTTCCAGGCGTATTAATCAAAGTCTTGTCATCTAAATGGTAAAAAAAAATATTTTTCAACTATACTTGTATTTTGGACAAGAGTTGTTTCTCTCTTGGTATGCCCTGTGCTATGTGACTTTTAGTCCCCTTTTCTAGTTTGACTAGAGTCTGGGGCCACGCTCTTCTCCGTGGTGCCCAGTGACAGGACAAGAGGCAATGGGCACATGCTGAAACACAGGCAGTTCCGTCTGAACATGAGGAAAAACTTCTTGACTGTGAGGGTGACTGAGCACTGGACCAGGTTGCCCAGAGAGGTTGTAGAGGCTCCTTCACTGGAGATATTCAAAACCCGCCTGGACACGATCCTGGGCAATATGCTCTAGAGGACCCTGCTTGAGCAGGGGGGTTGGACTAGATGATCTCCAGAGGTCCCTTCCAATCTCAACCATTCTGTAATTCTGTGGGTCTTAAACTACAAAATACTCTTGGTCTTTGGTCATACCTAATGCTTATTTTTAAAAATAGGAGGAGTTAAAAAGAGATAGCAGTTAAAAAACCTGAGTGCCTCTTCTCTGGGCTAATTAAATGACTTCTCCTCTCATGGACTTCTTGCTTTCACAGCAACAAAGAAAAAGAAGAAAGAAGAAGATGCATAAAGCTCCTTCCTCAGCAACGGATAGCAGATCTAAAACACACACTAGACCTTGGCCCTCTTTCCCAGATCCCCAGTCAGGTGAGAATGCACCAGTCAGCTCCTCTGTTCTATAACTGTTCCAGTTAGCTGAAATTTGAAGGAATAAATAGAAAGAAGTTTCTAAAAAGCAGAGAGAAGAAAGACGTGAAGAACAAACTCTTGTTGGGATACCAAAGAAATAGCATGGACTTCACTTTGGAAGCATATGTGTTGTAAAGAGCTAATGGGGTGTGTGATGCCAGCTTCTCTATGCTCTTTATCAAGGATTACAGCTTTGAAAGAGGTGGGAAAGAAACAAGAGCTGCCACCAGAAACTGGAGCTAGAGTGAACAGAGTAGTACGCAAGGAAGAAGGGACAGAGCAGCCACAGGAGAACTAACTGACAGGAAGGAAATGAAGGGAGAGCAAATGAAGGGAGAGACCAGAGAGCGATAGAGCATATACAGAGAGGGCACAAGAAAAGGGAAAGGAAATGAAAAGCAAAGCAAGAGAGCATGAGGAACTTGTAAAGAGCAGAACACCTGTGAATCTAAAATCAATTGAAATGGTTATTTCTTGGAACTCTTAGTCCTAGAATAGCTGAGGAAAAGGGCTGTTCTTACTCTTGACAGTTTGACTGAGATATTACTGTAGCATCACAATTGAACAATAGTGATGCTTGTTCCTTATTTCTGGGGAGGAAGTTGTGGTAAAAACTATTGTGGGGAGATCTGGCTTTACCAAGGATCACTTTCATTTGTAAAGGAAAAATTAGTCAGAAGAGCAAGAGGAAAAACTAAATCTTCAAAAACAGTATAAGGCTACTTAAGCAACTGTATCGAAACACAGAAGGCAGGGGTTTCCTGAATCAGTAAAAAGAAGGAAGCAAAATGCTAAACCAATATGGTTCTATAGCCAGGAGTTGGGTAAAAATGAGGGAAATACAACCCTGGAAAAATTAGGAGAAATGAATATAAGATTCAGGAGGTAAAATATAAGATGAAAATTAAAATAGACCTTGAAGAACTCAAGAACAAATAGCCAAGTCCTAATCCAGAACAAGTTTGAGTATTTTTATGAAAGAAAACACTCATAATTATGGTAGCCAAAATTTTAAATAGAAAAGGCAGGAGATCTATTTGCTTCTTGACCTTTGCTTGAATTGCGAGAAGGAAACTCCATGGAGCAGGTTATGCCGTAAACTGTTATTTTCCCTAATATTGCTGTAACCTTGAGCATGCAGCAGTTCATCTGTGCAAATGGATCGATAGCCAGGTCAGCTGTGTGGACTGCCTTTCTGGTTGCTGGCAGACAGAAGCAAAGAATGTCATGAAAACCCAGCACTGACAGGAAGCTAACTTGCCTAACAAAGGAAAACGAGTGGGTACACTGTTGAATGCAGAATTCTGTACCTTTTCATATCTAATTTTGCATAAATATGTATGATTTCCTTTAACACTACTGGATCAGCCAAATCAAAATTCCTGGGCTTGTTGATGTCTGTGTGGGGCTGAGGGAAGGCTCTCCCTCTTCTGATGCTTTCTTTTCCATTTCTTTTCATCTTCAGAGTTCCTGGCCACAGCTGCTGCCACCTTATCTTCCCACAGCCGTCGCCTCTTAGTGCCACCTTTCCCTGTGAGAACTGCTTTGCCTCCCAGCAATGTCAGCCCCATCCAAGCAGCGGGACCCCCCGCTGACTATCACTCAGAGTCTGCTGAGTCCATGGATGAGATTCCTGTGGCTCAGACCCGCCTTGGGAGCACAGCCTTTCATAGACCTTCCAAGAATAGGTCAAGCAGTTCTCAACACTCTCCCTTGTCCACAGGCCATCCCAGAGGTGACAGGGAGAAGAGTCTATATTCTGGGCACAAGGTAAAAACGAAAAGCTGGCAGCAAGACAGCAGCATGGAACAAGACCTGGAACTTGTTTCTAAGATCCCCACTGTGTTTGTAAGTAAGAGCAGTGGAGAGCCTCATGTCTCTCAGCCCCAGCCTAGTGAGAGTACATCTGAGCCGCACCACAGAAAATGCACCACCAAGCTGTACATGGGCAGACAAAATCCATGCTTAAAGGACATAAGGACAAACACCACAGCAGCCTAGTAATCAGCTTTCCAAAGCCATAACCTTGTGGGAAAGAGGTTCTCATTCTACTTGTATGTTGCTGTTCAAAGATCTTGACTCCAGTGACTCATCTTATTCCCTGGCATCAGCAGAGTCCCTTTACTTGATGCTGTCCCCCTTCCAGCAGAGTCAGCTGAGAGACAGGAAAACTCTGCTGCATCATTTTGTCTGGCTGCTGCCTGCTCCTAAGCCAGGAGTGCCCCGAGCCCAATTCTACTCTCCTTGTCCGGGGGAACAGACTCCCCTGATAGGGATGTGCCCAGGGCTGTCACTGGTGAACGACTGCAGTGTAAGTACTCTGTAGAGTGCTGAGGGACTGATCCCTAAACTGTGTGCTTACCATCACGCTGCAGCGTAACATTTGTTGCTGCCTGACTAAAGGCAACAGGCATGAGCATGGCAAACCTGAGGTGGGTACCTTGACCTGTTACTAGATGGAGCTAAGAAAAGTGCTTTCCCAAGTAAAAGGCTACACCCTCCTGGCCCTCTAGAAACAAATAGTGCAGTAAAATTTGTAGAGAACATGCGGGGAAAAACAAGGCTACATCTCTGCTGTTCCACGGCACCCATAAAATCAAATTTCCCATCTGCCTACACTCAGTCAGTCTTTGGATCATGCTGGGGGGGCCTGAGCGGATGATCAGGGAGTAATGTCAGAATTTCCCTGTCCCTATGCCACTTTCCACTGTGCACCCTCAAGCCCCTTTGCCAAATCCACCAGCATGACCTCTGTAAAGCAGTGTAGTTTGTACATGACTACACCTTCCCACCAGCCTGCTGTGCCCCACAGTGCAACCTCCTTATCAGAAAATGCAGGATGAGGCAGGTCTTGTAATCTTTCCATTTCCTGGGCTACCAAATCAGCAACAAGCTCACAGTCAAGCTTAGAGTCTCTATATTGGCAAAAAAATCCTGCACGAGGCACTGGGGCACATAGCCAGCGCCTAGAATCACAGCATTCTGTCCTCATGGTGACAAGCAGCACTACAGAGCCTATACTTTCCCTGTCCTCTTGGCTTCCACAGGCAGCATGCCCTGCTCCAGATTGCTGGCTGAGCCCTGAGGCCAGGGCTGTCAGGAAACCAAGATCTGCCTAGCAACCAGCTACATCAGAGCCCAGGATACTAGCTAATTACACATCTTGATGGGCCTTGCCACCAGCCTGTATGTACCTGACACAATTTGTCATTTGGCAGCTACTTCTGTGTAGCCCGTGCCTCCCTGGCATGGCTATCACCCTGACCAGCAACGACTGGCTTTGCCAGTTGCACCATTTCTGAATAAGCCCCAGTGCTGCACACAGCTAGTGTGTGTGAACACCTAGATGCACCAGCAGAGAAGAGCCAACAGAAAAAGTTTTAATTACCCTACTAAATGTTTTCCATGATGCATGGACACAACTGACAGTCTACCGGTCTACCCCTTCCTCCATACTATCATGCCTGCAAGTAGGGAAGAACAAGACAAAGCGTGGTCCTAAATGGCTCATGCTAAGCTGTTCCACCCCTTGCCTAGGCATGGAGTAGCTCAATCTGTGAGCATCCATCAGAAAAGGTTCAGAGCAGGCCAGGACATCTGGGGAAAACTGCCCTCTGGGAACAGTCAGCATAAGACTGGCAGGCTTAACCCCCCAGCTCTGATGTGTCCGCTCCTCAGCCCTGTCATTGCCCATTATCCCACTGCTTACCCTGGCTTTTGCACTGCTCAGAATTCTGTGCAAAGTCCACTTCCCCTGGAGCTCCCAACTACTTGGCTGTATCCTTTCACAGCAGGATGGCATTTTGGCTAGCATTATTTTGGCATAGCATGGGCTTTTGCCCCAGACAGAGTTTCTTCTGGAGAGTTCACTTCAGCAGAGAGGTGCAAGGGCATCTGCCTTATGCTGAAAACCTCTGCACACTCTGGAAACCATGCCAGGAATTGGGTCGGCTCCCTTGGGAAGCCCCCCAGCACTATCACATGACCAGTACCATGAACCTGTGAATGCTCATGTAGTGGTCATTTCAGCCCTTGCCTTCAAGGGGAAGGCAAAATGCTGCAGCTGCTCCTGAAAACACATGGTTCTTGCAGAACTGAAACTGCGGTAAAGGAGTTCTCTTGCACAGGTGGTGCAATGTGCATGTGCATGTCACCAACAGCTTGTAGGTGCCATGTGTATGGCACCTAACACATTAGGTGCCATTTCCTCTCTTAGGCTCAGAATTAGCACACCAGGAAGTTGGCAGGAGGAGGTTTTGTCCCCAAGGGCAGTATTATTGGATCCCAGTCCTGCTGTCCCAGGCTCTTGGGCTCACTTGACCCTAGGGCTGTTGTACTGAAGAGATAGAGACTGAGTTTTCCAGCTAAGTGTCTCCATGGATTAGGGAATGACAAAGTCTGGAGAGCTGTCCTGAGCCTTGAGAGGAGCTTGGAAATCTGTTTCCTCTGCCTGGGAAGGGTGGAGATCAGAGGGCTAGGCTGATACATAGGTGTAGACTGCAGAATAGGTGTGGAATATGTATCTGAGAAAAGAAGCCAGTGGACGAGCCATGGTCCAGCTCCAAAGCCAATTTCCTAGTCCCAAGCTAGTCTAGGGACCACCTAGTAGGAGGCAGAAGACCAGAGACAAGCCTTCAAGCTATTGGGCTTGGAACTACAACTTTTCCATTGGGGTCTCCCTTTCAGGAGTGTGTTGAGCTCTGTTTTTTAGCGCAAAGGCAGGCAGCCTTGAAATCTGATTTGGGAGAGCAGAAGAAAGTTTGTTCTTTATGGGAGCTCAGTACTGTTAGGTCAAATCACACCAACACATGGCCAAGGATAATGAAGGAGCTTTTGGGCTGAGCATAGACCACGGGTACAGGACATTTTTAGTCTGTCACATTTTTTCTCAGGGCCCAGGGAAACCTGGCTTGGTGTCTAGGAAGGAACTATGCCATATTCCAGTTTGGAGTGGGAGACTGTTTGCTCTGTAAGGGGCCTTTGAAAGTATCTAGATGATCAAAGGCTTGGTGGCAGGTCATTGGTGTTCTTTGAGGCCTCAGCCCTAGCTTCTGTCAGAAAGGAGCTAAAGGGGATGTATCTTGAAAGACAGTAGCTTTCTCAGCTCTTTCGAGAGAAAGGATGATTAATGCTTAACACTTGTCTTCACCTCCTGACTCAACAGCCTTTAGCCCCCAAGTTCCTTCCTCTCCCCTCCTCCATAGTCAAGTGCTATCCTCTGCTTTGTTCTCCTGGACTATGCTTTGCATGGGAGCTGGTGAATTTTAATGATACTAGGTGCATAGGTATTCCAGAAGAAGACACCCAGACTTTGTATCGGACATCACTGAGATGATGGGGAAGCCAGTCGCGTATGTTGACATGCCCTAGTCTGGCATTTGAGGATGAAGAGAAACTCTGCTCTGCTTGGCATGTGCAAAAAGGGTAAAGTCTGTGGGGAAGGATCTGGCCTCATTGACTTTTGGCCAAGGATGGTCAACAAGCAGTGTGGAGGGGTGGTATCACAGAGGTTCAGCCCCTGGTCAGACTCTGCCCTCTTTTGCCCCTTCCTTTGCCATGAGATGCTGGTAGGTGGTGGTGCAAGACAAGTAGTATGGCTTGTGGAAAGCCACGTGATGTAGGCGTTGCGTGTGGCACAAACAAGGCAAGTGTTAGAATGACTTTGCTGGACCTGAAGAGTTTATGGGGTAGAAGTGATACCCAAGAATTTCCTATTGTTGAACAGTGCAGATGTGACTAAGTGCCCTCAAGGCCAACTGTGTGGCCCATAGACAGGACCCTCCAGGCCAAGCACTCCCAAGGTGGTGCTTGGGAACTATCTATCTGACAAGGCAGTATAGATACAATCCCTGATCCCAGATTTCTTTAAAGGGCTTTCTTACCTTTCTTCTCTGTTGCCTGATTTTTAACTCCTGAAGGAGCTGGAATGAGGAGCTTTGATTTTTCATTGAATTGTATGAACCATTGGTCAGCAAAAATGAAGTCTCCTGTAGCTGTTGAAGTCATCATGTTTAAATTTCTAGGAGGGGATGCCAGTAGTCACATTCAGATTGCAGCTTCCCTTGCTAACGTAGCCATTGGTACCAGCTGGCAGTGTGAGCCTTTGGAAACACTGGTGTGTGTGGGAGAAATGCTTGTGGATCAGCACACATTGCACTACTTATCTGCAGGCACCAGGACATCTTCCCACTACTGGATCCCAGTTAGACAACATGCTTCCTGTTGTTTCTCCTCTTGTCTGTGATCATCCAAGAGAACTACATGCTAATGCTGGGCTCAGGATGTTCAAAGGCCAGCAGTCCCTCCACCCAGAAAGCATTGGTAATATCTCTCCAGCAGGTGTCCCTGAGCAGATCTCATGTGTTTTCTTATCCTTTGTCCATGCAGAAGCAGTCCTAAAGTCCTGCATGGAGTTCTTTATTAGCTCTGTTCACAATAAAATTTTCTATGGCCTTTGCTAAATAGTTTCTTCCTTTTTTTTGCAGTAGTTCATTTATCTGCCCGGTTGATGGCTGCTAGGGTGTTTTGGGCAAGTGAAGCTCTTCCTACATCTCTGATGTCTCAACTGAACTTTGCATCTTAACCAGTGTGTAGGTGACAGTGGTCCCTTCTTTGTAGGGCTCTGTGGACATTGGAGAGGGCTGCCTTCCCTGAAGAGTAGGGAATCAGCCACCTTTGCCATAAGGCACGTAACTTCAGCCTGGTTTCTGCGCTGTGGCAGGATAAGAACCACAGGGAGGAGGCTATTCACTGTGCATCATGCAGCAGGAAGGTTGCTGTGTCCTTTGGGGGTGAGTGGAACTGGAATCCTGGCCTGAAGACGTCTCTAAGATATTCAGGGAAAGGTCTGAGATGTCCCAGGGTGGCAGCTTATGAGTACAGTTTGAAAGGGAGCGCATGTCCTGCACTGCTAGCAGTGACATGACTCTCTCCAGGGGCATGGGGCTCACCCTCAGGTTCAGCGTTTAGTTTCCTTCCTCCTTCCACCTTGTATTCAGCTGCCACAAGGAATCTTTCAGATTGAGAATGCACTTTAAGCCCCAGCTTCTCCTACTACGCACGCAGACACGTACCTGAGAAGGATCTCTTCCCCCAGAGTCACCGAGCCATTGCAGAGCCCTTTGTGCTGCTAGGCTGTACAGGTTCTGCAGACTTCCCCACAAAGAGAGGGAGCTCATGCATGTCATTGGAGGCCAAGGAGATGTCCAAAGGATGTGCTGGGGGCCATGACCTAGGAGTTTTGCTGGGTAGTGAGGACATCCTTCTTCTGCCTTCATCTGTGACATGAAACCTCCCTGCTAGCTTTCTCCACTACATTGAATGCTGGAGAGGACAATAAATAAAGGCTGAAAAATATTTAATGCCTTGTCTGTGGATTATGACAGTCTGGTGCTAAGCAAGGAGCTGGGCCACAGCAGGATGGGCTCCTGGGACTTCTTGTTTTGTGTACGGACTCTGATCTGCTGAGTGTCACAGGCAGCAGGCAGGATCCTGTGTGCAGAGTGCAGTTTGATTTTGGCTGGGTTTTATGTTTTGTTTTTCCACCATCACATTAAAAGAGGAATGTTGAAGATGTATATTGGGGACCTAGAATGAAAATGATGAGATTTGGGGTGGTCCTGGGCTCCTGGGAGAACTGGTCTCTGCCTCAGAACAGTTCCCAACAAGGATGAACCTTCACAAGTGCCATTCAACATCTCAGCTATGAGAGCTGCTTCATGTGGGGAGGCACGTGGCAGGTGCTACCCTTCAATATCCATGTGCCCATAGGACCCTGGCTCTGGGTGCTGTGTGTGGTATCCCACTGAGTCTTGGAAGTTTTCTATGGCAGGCAGCTGGACTCTTCCAGCATGATCACAACAGAGGCAGGCACTGCCTGGGCTCTCTCCTTTGCCATGGGCTAGCCTGGTTCCTGTCCTTCTGGGACCCTAATACTGATGCCCTGCAGGTTAAGGTGAGAAGGCATTC